GTCCTCTTTTCAACTCCTTCAAGCGTGACCATTGATCGACAAGTGCCCTTGGAGATAACGTGGGTAAATACGAAGGCGGATTTGATTTAGTGTTTAGGACCAGTTCAGTATCTGGAAACTGGTACCAATGGATTCATAATTGATGGCTCTGGGGGAGGACCTTGGGGACATTGAAGAGGACGCTCTGTAAATTCCCATGGTCAGCGAGTTCATGGGGCAAGTGCTAGACCAACACCCCACCCCAACAAATCTCTGTGATATCTCCTGTGTGAAATGACTACGGGCAGACACGGTGGAGCTCTGTCATAATCACACACTTAAAGGTGGCCCAAAGGATAGAGGCCTGATCTCCCTAAAAGAGAAGGAGCTGCATGTTGAGTTCCCCCACATGGCCAATGGTTCAATCAGTCACACCTACAGAATGAAACGCCAATAAAAATGTTAAATACTGAAACTTGGATGAACCTCCCTGGTTGGCGATGCTCTGAGTGTTGTCACACGTCCCAGCCAACAGGAGGAAAGGCCGTCCTGGACTCCACAGGGAGAGGACAACCGGGAGCTCTGCGCTTACCCCTTTCAGACTTCACAGAAGCATCTCTTTCTTTGCTGGTTCTGATTTGTATCTTTTTGCTGTCATAAAACGATAATCATAATTTTTTAAAAATGGCCGAAAGAAATATATGAGAGGATTCTTACTTTGCAAAGTGTAAGGGGGAAATGGGCCCTGAGGGTGACAATGCCTGCAGGAAATTTCTCTCTCCTGCCCCACGTCCTTCCTTTCATGCTTCTGTCCCCCCCGCCCCCGCCCACATGAGGCTACAGTACCAGAAATTTGGGGCCACTTTCTGTGAAGGAGGCCAGATGAGAAGGAAGGAAATGGTACTGCAGCATTCTGAAAGATTACTTGTCCTTTTTCCGACCAAGGTGCCAAATGGCAGCCATTTAAAAACCTGGCTTTTCAATTATACAACTGATTGAATGCTGAATCCTTAAGAAGTGAATTTTCTTTACTTTTTAAAATACCTTTCTATTAATTCTAAGCAAAATAAAAGTTTGCTTGAAGGTTTCCCAATTGACAAAAGTCACATAATTTAATGTAAAATATAAAACTCAATGTGTCTATCGTTAATTAATTCCATGTCTCTATGCTTCCCCCCCCCCCCCCCCCCCAAAAAGCACCTGGATTTGGGAGTCCTCATTTATATTTTAAAAGACTTTAGCTGAACAGGGTGATCATTTTATTACATGGGTCCTGTGAACACAGAACAATGAAATCCCTTCATAAATGTAACACTGCATTTAGGGACCAAGAGTGACTGGATTGGAAAAGGGACACTTGTTACCTTTTTAACATTGATGGAAATACTGCCCTACCTCCTCCTGAGGCAAGTTAATTAACACTAAGGGTTTTAAGGACATTTTGAGGGAGAGTGCACAAAATTGAGAGAGGGAAACTTCAGATTAGGGCGACTTTTATTGGATTCAAAACCGTGTGTCTTCTAGTCTCTTGAGTTTACTGTGGTGATGACCAGAGAGTCCAAACAGAAGCCAGACCCCAAGGGTGAAGGCAGCCCAGGAGAGGTGATGGAATTCCTTCTCAGACATACTGAAAATACCCAGGAAGGGCACAGGATGCAAGGAATAAACTCTGCTCCCACCACCTTACACCACGAACTTGCAGAACTTTATGAAGAATTTGTATAAAATCTCAGAAAGAACTTGTATGGCCCACTTTTGATTCAAGTCTATCATTCAATGGGTCACATAAGCCTGTGGTCACATCCAGTTTGCTTTTACCAAACTATCTGGGGAAAGCACTGATCATTCTGGTACATGGCAGGTGACCTAAACAATTAGGTAAAAAATGCAAATAGTGTGGGGAAGCCGGACCTGCCACCACAGGTCCTTCCAATAAGCTCCAGGGCACCCTCTGTGTTCACTTTCCCGACCGCTGGACATACACCATCGTAATGAGCTGTTTACTTGCCTGTCTCCCCAAAACCCTTCAAGCCGGGGACTGTGTCCTATTCGCCCCTGTAACCCCTCTGCTGGCACAGAGGAGACGACCAATCACATTTATGAAGTGAATAAACAAAGGAAGCAAAGTGCTTCCTTTCTAGAGTAATTAATTCCACCTCACCTAAATTAAGTCTGTTTCTTTAAGTGTGAGGAAATGAATGGGTATAGTACAGAGCATGCAGATATAAATGATTATCTCATTTAATAATGAGCTGGGACCAATAATAAAAATTGCCTGCTGTCTGCTCTGCCAAGTAGCCCTATCTGTTAACTAACATTAAAGATCTAATTTAATTAAATCTTGAACAAGCTCAGAAAATCTACTGAGAGCACTTTGTTTAATTACAGTCAGGGGGCAAGCACCAATCCTATTGATCTGGTCAGTTCAAATTCTATACAATCAATGTGGGTAGTGAAAAAAAAAAGTGACCCCAACTGCTTTTCAGGCAGCTTTGATGAACTGTGGATTGGGAGGTGCCATAAAGGCAGCAAAGGCAAACCAGCCACGTACCATGTGGTATCGCAAGGAGGGCAATGAAAGCATACCTCAGACGCTCCACAGAGCTGCACATGATGAAGAACAGAAGACAACCCACCACAAGAAACAGATTCCTCCTCGGGGAAATGAAACATAATGAGTGGCGGTGAGTGGAAGTCGTCCAGCATTGAAGGCTAGTAAACTGGCATTCAAAGGCATCTAGCAAATTCTATGAGGCCCACAACTGTCTTGAAATAAAAGGAAATAGATCCAATCCATGGGTATGTATACAAATTCCTGAGGGCATTCCCAGTTGAGGAAAAGGTACAAGTTCCTGGACACATTTTTATTTGGAGGCAACTGAAATATAAATTATATACATTCAATATAAAACCATATTAAAAGACAGAAAAATATGAAAAACACCACACAGTCACTGCAAAACTTAAATGACTGTTTAAGTATGATCAGAAGCGAGGTAATCGCATTATGAGTATTAACTAATTTCCCTGCGTTGGGTATTAGCATTATCCCCACGGCCCAGAGAAGTCAGGTAACGTGTCACAGACTCATGGTGATGTGGTAGGTCAGGCTGTGACCTGAGGTGGTCAGGCTCCAGGCCTGGCACAGAGCATCCAAATGATGCAGTTCTGAGGACTAACCTCCAGAGTTGGAGAAAATACTTGAAGAAGGGGACTGGCTTTTTATCTTTTGCTGGTCACAATCCAGGGCTCTCTTGTGCTTTAGTAACTCAAGTTAGAGGAGGGAATTTATTCTAAACCACAATATGTAATTACATCCAGGACCAACATTTCCTTCACAAAACATGCACCATCAGAATGCACATGCTAAGAGCAAGCACACCTAATTAGGGCATTAGTCATGATCATCAGGGAGCTCAGCCCAGGAAATTACAGGTGGTGGGGGCCTTCGCACGGAGGAAATGTCATCAGCTGGCCCAGATAAAGTCTTTGCTGACGGGGGTGATTTACACCTGCTGATGCAAGGATGAAGAATGGCATCTGATACAGCTGGGTACTGGAAACAAGCTTATTATGCACATGAGTTCAGACAAAATGATGTTCAGATCTGAGCGGCAGGGATGCTGGCCTTTTAATTATAACATTAGCCACAAGTGAGGAAAAGAGCTGATAACGTTCACAAATAGTAATTTCTTCCACACTCAAACGTGCACGTGGATTAAAAACAGAATGAGTTATACATGCTGACCTTTTGGAAGAACAAGGTATTTCCAAGATGTTCTTTAGAAGTCAGGGGGAGAGAGAGAACAATTACTAGATGTCTTTTCCCCCCTCTCTAATTCAACTTAATCTGTGTGCAAAATGTCCAGTTAGAGCAAAACTAGAAAGCAAACTTCTACTATCGCCAAGATTGAGAGAGAAAGGGGTCTCGTAATTCAAAGTGGAGTTCAGAGGGAATTGCTTCTGATTGAAGAACTCCTTGCTTCACTGCCAGTCGATTCACAGATCAAATTCACAGCCACACAAAGAAGTATTTGTGGGTTCCTGAGGAAAAAAACCCCCTCCATCTTCGGAAAACTGAGTGCTTTTTACAATTCTGCCAAACATTTCTATCCTAAAACATCAGCGTCTTTAGTAATGGATATATTTCCTACACTGAGTGATTTGCAAACTGCTTCAGGCCATAGAGCCATGGGTACATGGGGGTGAATACCAGGAATTACACACACATACTTAACATATATACACATACACAAAACACACATATAGACACAGCTACACATACATATGATTATTTTAACCTTAATAAGTCTGCACTAAAAGAGTTGACATTTGTCATTAGATTCACTGATAAGTGAGAGCACCTGCTATAAATTTAAAGAATGTTAGAAAAGACTGCAAAGGGGAAAAGTCTGTATCAGTGGTTCTCAACCTTGGCTGCACATTAGAATCACCTGGGACTCTTTGTAAAATCCTGATTTCTGGGCCTCATCCTCCGGAAATTCTGTTTCTTTGTTATGGGGTGGGGCCACAACATTAGTAACAAAAAAATAGAATTTCCGGAGGATGAGGCCCAGAAATCAGGATTTTAAAAAGAGTCCCAGGTGATTCTAATGTGCAGCCAAGGTTGAGAACCACTGGTCTATATATTTTTGCAAATTATAAAATAGTATTAGTTAACTTAAAAGAAGAACATTTTAATGTAGCTGGGGGCAGACGTGCACACCCGGGAGAATGGGTTGAGAATCACTGATATAAGTTTACCATCCACTTAGATTTGCAATTCTGGGGAATAGTGTTTTTTTTTTTTAAATCTGTTCGCCACACCTCAGCACTTTTAAATGATTTTCCTTTCAAGAATCTCTTAAAAAAAGAAAAACTGACTTCATAACCAGAAAGGGACAGCGATTCCAAAGGCTATAAACACCCCAGAATTCCCGGGGCTGCCCTGGGCTCCGCACGCTGGCTTCTCTGGCCCACACCCTCGGGAAGAGGCCGGGCCGTGGACTCGGCATGCTCACCCTCCTCCGGAGCCGGTCCCGCTCCTCCCGGATGGCGTTCATGGTGGCCTTGGTCCTGTTCAGCTCCTCCTCTTTGCTGCACAGCATGGCGGTCAGGCTCTCATTCTCTTCCCTCAGCCCAGCCAGCTCCTTCTCCCAGCGAGACCGCTCCTCAGCCAGGTTGGGATACAGATCCCGGCCGAGTACCCCCTCGATCTCCTCGACTGTCTAGAAAATACAGCCACAAAAACAAGCCAGGTGAGTGACTGGGAGAAAGCGGGGGGGAAGAAAACATGCTGGACGGAGCGAGTGTCCACGGAGGAGGGGGTTCTACAGCCTCCTCACTGTCAAGTGTCATCATGATCAGTGACACCCCCAAATCATCCTCTCCCTATTCTCAAACCAGATTCTGTGGCTTGCTTGGGTCCTTGTCTGTGTTACCCAGCAGTCCCCGGAGTAAGAAAAACACAGTCCTTCCCTGGCACTAACTGTCCACAATGTTTATCTCCTTTGTCCACGTCCCAGAGCTGGTGACTACGCACCAGCAGACAGCAAGCCAGTTAGTGATCCCGACAATGCAAACGTGAAGTTGCCAACTGCACACAAAATCTAACTTGCGGTTTCCTGAATTACAGGCCTCCCCTGTTCCAACTTGGCAACGAGAGGCCACATTGCCGTTCCCAGCTCTAGTGTCACAGCAGAACTGAGAGGGTGTGAATGAGGTTCAGTCCCAAGATGCCCAGGCCGAAAATAAACCTGTGACACAGAAACGAGGAAGCTCATTGTGGAGGTCTCTAAGACAGCAGGGATTTAATTAACGAATAAGACAGCTGTGAACTAAGAAGAGCAAAATCTTAATAGCACTTGGAGAGTTTTTAAATAATCCATTTAAAACAGAGTATTAGTGGAGAGAGAACGGGCAGAAAACTGGAAAAAAAGGAAGAGCTCCTTCTGGTGGCGTTCAGACACCATTCATTCACATTTCTTGTCATCTGGAAAAGGAAGCAGCAGCCAAATGACGTGAGAGAGGAGGGAGGATTCCTAGGTCGGAGTAGAAGGCGGTGAAGAGAGGTGATGAGGAACAGGTCTCGAAAACAAAACAAAAAAACAACAAAAGGGGAGGTCACTCGTGGCTGCTCACACCGGTTTCCCCATCGCACTGCCACTTCCCCTGTGTTGTGCATCGTCCTTCCTCTCAAATCTGAGGCCTGCTCTGTCCCTTGCTGGCTGGCAGAAGTCCTTGTCTTCTCCTTCCCTCTCAAAGCTGAGGCTGGGGCTAGGACCCAAGTTGACATTAAAATTAAATATAGGGCCTGGGAGACTCCAGACAAAGAAACAACAGTGGTTGCTTCTCCAAACCACATCACTGACATATTAATAACTGAGATGAATAAAGATGGAAAGCCAGCTGTGTTATAAATATGAATCACGGTTCACCTTGAGATACCACAGCTCTTTTGTAACACCCGGGGTTTCTGTTGGTAGACGCTTGGGCCTAGAGTGCTAAGGCATTTTTTCCCCCCAAGTAACACATCCCATTTTCCCTTTCCATAGGCCCCTCTCTGACTTTTCAGAATCAATCACTATGCCTAGGGCACTAAGCTAGGGTGAAGTAATATAAAGACCCCAGAGGCCCAGTATCAACAAGACTTGACGTTCCCATTGTTCATGATGAGTCTGTGCAGATGCAGCAAATTCCTCTCTTTTCATTCTCCTTTGGAGGTAAGATGAATGGATGTGGAAGGCGTGGCTGAGACCGAGTGCTCAGGATCCAGGACTCACTGAGGCCTGGAACTTCCCCCTTATTAGCACCGTGAATTGATTAACTCCTGAAATAATATTCTAGAGGCCAGAAAGCGTTAATAAAACTTCCAAGTTAATCTTTGGGCTACACGATGAACCATACTAAAATGAGGTGGTTCAATACTAGCAGTCTAAGAGTTTCCAAGCAAATTGTCATTTTTGCTGCAAAGTCAGTGATCCTGACTGCTGACGTAATGACTTTTTCTAGTGCAATTCAGCCCAACAAAAATGTATAGGGCTCCGGCTTCTATCTGGGGGCCCAATCTATGAGTATGGCTTTCTCAGAAACACTCATTCCTCACAGGTATTTGAGAAAACCACACTTCAAAAGAGAGGGATCTGATCATTTCCCCCCTATGATCGCCAAGAGCCACACAGAGGGTGGGGAGGGTTTACCTTAATAGCCAAGTCGCAGTGCTCGCTGGCCGTGGTGAGCTGCTCGATGTGCCTGTCCACCTCGGCCACGGACAGGCTGCAGCTGCTCTTCTTTCTGCAGCAGACGACGTTCTCCAGCCCCGTCAGCACCCGCTGCAGCTCCGAGTTCAGGTCACTGCAGTTATCTGAGAGTGAACGTGGGCAGAATGAGTGAAGCAGGCAGGTGGGCAGCGAATGCTCTTCATTTCGTTCACCATGAAAAACCCATTCTAGTAAAATGAAATGGCAATAGAGCTTGAAATTTCAAAGTTTAACTCTGGGCAGCCGAATCCCAGCCTGCTGGCATCCTGAGGCTTGGAGGCAATGTAAAACCTTTACTAAGGGGTTGCAGACTTCAGTCCTTTTCTACTTAGCCACACCAAGCTGATCCTCTCGTCTTTCACCTGAGGGCAGCCCCAACTTGAGGTTCTTTAATAAGAACAAAAAAGTGTCAGAGGGGCTGGTGGGGCCTCATAAGTTGTCTGGCCTACCTTCCTGCTCAGCCATTCAGACAAACACTGGCTCCAGAAAGAGTGTCCGCAAAAAAAGATATCATAATATTACTGAAGAAACAAGACAGAACCCCCCAGAGTTAGCAGAGACACTAGGCATTTTAAAACACGGAAACTGTGTAAGACCCAGCCCTTGCCCTCGATGAGCTTATAATTAGGACACGTGGCTGCCCTGGTCACTGTTCCCTGTCTGGGCCCTCACAGGAGGACAAAGTGGATAAGCTGCAGGAGCGAGTTTTCTGGGTCCCCTGACTGTGGTCACACAGCCCCAATCACTCACCACCAGTCACCCTAGCACCAGCGCTGCTCAGCACGAGGTGGGATGCTCTTTCAGAGTCTGTGGCGTATTCCTCTAAACACAGACTCAGAACAAACGCTCAGTTCCTTCCCGTGGCCTACAGCCCCCGGCACAGTCTGGCCCCTGCCAACACTAAAGGCTGAGGCAGCTGGGGACTGTACAGAGGCCAGAGGTGTATGTTACGGAATCAGAAGAGCAATAGAGGCTGAGACAAGGGACTAAGTGGGTTCCAGGATGAACAAAAGGTGTCTCATGTATAAATCAAAATCGTAATGAGTTATCACCTCACTCCTCAGGATGGACACTATATATGAACAACAGAAAACAACAAGTGTTGGCAGGGCTGTGGAGAAGTTAGAACCCTGTGCCCTGCTGGTGGGACTATAAAATGGTGCAACCGCTGTGAAAAACAGTATGGCAGTTACTCAGAAATTAAAAATAGAACTCTCATATTATGTAGCAATCCCATTTCTGAGTATATACCCAAAAGAATGGAAAGTAGAAGTGAAAAAGATATGTGTGCACCCTTGTTTATAGCAGCAGTGTTTACAATAGCCAAAAAGGTGGAAAGAACTCAAATGCTCATCGACGGATGGACAAACAGAATGTGGCATATGCACGCCATGGGGTATTACTCAGCCTTCCGAAGGAAGGCAATTCAGACAGCCTGCAACATGGATGGACCTTAAAGACACTGGCCTAAGTGAAACAAGCCCGTCACAAAAGGACAAATACTGTGCGATCCCACTTACATGAGGTTCTTGGGGTAGGCAGATTCAGAGGCAGAAAGTAGAATAGAGGTTCCAGGGGCTGGGGGAGTGGGGCAATGTGGCTTAATGGACACAGAGTTTGTTTGGGAGGATGAGACAGTTCTAGAAACAGATAATAGGGATGGGTGCACAATTCTGTGAACGCATGTATCGCCACTGAACTGCACACCTGCCCTGGAACGCTGAGCAGACCCCCTGGCTGTGCTGTGCTTTAGGCAAGAAAGGTAACGAACAGCTCGGCTCCACGTCCACGAGACAAAGAGGAGGCCATCTGTATCGAATACACATTCTCCCAACGGAGGTTCTTCATATCTTCCCACAGAAGAATGTGAGGTTGCGTAGAGCAAACAAAAGGGGAAACACAGTGATTAGGGCCAGGGAGAGGCTGAGGAAGCCAATAAAAGTGAACAGCTGTTGGGCTGACTACTCTGCTTAACCATCACACAAGCGTCCTGGCAGCCAGAGCAACAATGAATGATCTCCTGTCAGGGAGGAGGAAGTGTTCCAGCTTCACAAGGGAGACTATGTGTTTTCAGCAATAGCTGCTACAAGAATTCGGGTACATGGACTTCATGTGTGGCATGAAGCGATGTGATGGCCAGTCTCCTCAGCCAGTTTCACACATATGCAGATTTCAAAGGCTTTCTTCTTATACACGCCTTCAATTAAAATTAAGCTGTTGACCATTAAAGTACAATGCAAAGGGAGTCCTGGGAAGGACTAAGCTGACAGTCTTGGCATTCTGCCTCCCAATTGTCTAATTGGCTGCAAAGATGAAAGAGAGCGCACAGAAGAATAAATGGAATGGACATCTCCCTTTGACCAAAGGATGCAAATGAGCCACCTGCAGCAAAGATGTTTCGTGTGGAGGGCAGGGTTTGATGGCTGGCACAGCCTTTTTTGTTTTTAAAACAATTTTTAAATTAATTGCCAACATTTAAAAACCATTAGAAGTTACGACTATTCTTGTAAAATTAGAAGGTCTGGCCACATTGGGCCCCACTCGGCACACAACAATCTGCAGCATGGCCAGCTGCTGGCCCTGTTGGACGCGGCATGGCCACAGCGCCCATGGCCCACTGCCCACCCCCCAGGCCTGCCCACTGCCCACCTCCCAGGCCTGCCCACTGCCCACCTCCCAGGCCTGCCCCTGCTGTCCTTCCTAAAGGTAACTTTTCCCAGCTAGACTTCTGCAGCAGCTGCAGAAAAGACAGCTCAGGTTACATTCTTCTGGAGAACTCAGAGCCTTAGGCTTTCCTGTTGCCGTTTGAGGGAGACCCAAGTCACTTCGGAAATGTACTTGGCTATGAAAACTAAGCCTAACCAGCTTTCTTGCTCACTTAAGCACATACCGGTGGGCTGGTTTCCTTCTTTCCCCTGACCAAGTGTCATGGAATCTAAAACATACCATGTGGCATACCACACCCAGCTAATAAGCTTTCAATTAAGGTGGATCCTCAAGGCGGAGGCCCTTCCCCTGAAGTTAGAGGTACTAGGCACAGTGCACTCAGCCAGTCTGAGAAAGGGAAGTGGCTGGGGGCCTGCTGTGAATGGTCCTCACGCCTGATCTCTGTGGGGAGCAGCAGATGAAGCCGTAACCATGACCCCCACTGCCTTCTGAGGACCGACACGCGTCCCCACCTCTGTTCTGCCTGGGCACACGTCATGCCTTACAGAGCAAGGCAAGTGGGGGAGAGAGCTGCAGATGCTTTCAGCTTCAACACCGACGTTCTGCTAGGAAGCAGGTCTGATGTCCTAGGGATGGAACAGCTCCGAGCCCGTTGTGGCTCTAAGGCTTAACCAGGAAGACTGGTGCTTTCCTTTCAGCAGTCCTCTCTCCTCTGCGTGCAGCCAGGCCCTCCCTCACTCCAGCGAGAAAAAAGCAAAACAACACAGAAAATGACAGAATAGTTGACTTCCAGGTCTGAACACAAGACGACGAGAAGGTCTACGAGGAAAGGAGGGAGTATCCACTGAGGTTACCCTGCGTGATGTACAAGCGTCTGTGTCTACCAAAGACAAGAGAGTAAGAACGATGTCGGTATAGTTTAAAAACACCTCAACATCACCAATAGTGAACAAACTGACACATGACCCTCCTGCACCTTACTGTGTGTTGTGTCTTTTTTTTTAGGTGATGGATGTTAACTAAATTCATTGTGGTAACCATTTCATAATTATGCTGTACACCTTAAACTTCAGTGTTGTATGTCAATTATATCTCAATAAAACTGGAAGAAAAAAGAGAGGAAGGCATAAGTGGGTAGGGATTCTAAACAGGAATGGGACAGGGGGCGGGGAAGGAGGGTGGTACTGAGGAAGAGTAGAGTCAGGCCCTCAGCTCTAGGAGAGGTGAGGATGGAGCTGAATACGGGGAGAGAGAGATAAAGGGGAAAGAAACTTTCCTAAGAACTTTATTAAAGGGCTTTTACTTATTACAGAAAATGAATGTTCATTCTAAATAAAATTCTAAGCAGAAAAGTTCAAAGAAGCAACTAAAAATGATCCATAATCCTTCAACCTCATTTTAAGCTCTTAGAATTTTATTTTCTACATCCTTTTCCATAAATACATAGATCATGCTCTACATAATATGTTTGGGTTTTTTTTCACAAATATTTCTTAAATTATTAATTTTATGACTACTAAAATTTCATTCTTTGGAAATACCATCATTTTTTTGGCATATCACAGACATATTTCCCTTAAATTCCTAGACATGAAATAAATGGGTCAAAAGATTATGAATATTGGCACATATTATCCTGTTGCTGGGAAAATATTATACATTTCCATTTGTGAATTGTGCAACTTACTTTCAAATGGTTTTGAAAAAGAATTTCTGAGTGTTGTGCACAATCATATGTGGTAAAATGTTAACAATTGGTGAATCTAGGCAAAGGATTTGGGGGATTCGTTTGATCTTTTATGTAAGCTTGAAGTTTTTAAAAAATAAAAAATTGAGGAGAAAACAAATACCTCAACATTCAAGGCAAGAATATGCTCAAGTCTAGTTTAACTCAGGGACCACTATGACGATCAACTCCTCAGTGCAGTTATGAGAACAGGAATGTCTCCTGAAAGCACCAGGCCACACCCAAATATCCCCAAAGCACACAGGCTCGGGCCAGGGTGATGGTGCCAAAAAGAGTGAGCTGCCACCGCGCCAGGCCCCCACCAGGCCCCAACCTCACCGAGAAGAAGAACCTATTCTGTTTCTTTCCCAAAGAAAACGAGGTTGCATTTTCAAGACTTCTATTTCAGCCAGATCGTATGGGTCTGAGATTTGTTTTCATTTTTGCTGCTGTCACTGTGCAGTTTTGACAGTTTATCTCTCTACAACACTAAACTTGGTCTTAAGTATGGTGAAGGCGTAAGAAAGATAACCTAGCATCAACTGCCGGAAAACTGTCCTTCAGCCACGAGAACCCCCGTTGCTGGCTATGTCTTCAGGACCCCAGGCTCTAAGCTGCCCCAGCGCCCCACAGAACTCCCAGCCCCACCCGCCCACTCCGGCCTTTGCCGTGTAGAAGTCCTGGCAGTGGCTTCCACAGAGCAAGGCTCCA